ATCATAAGAAAAAAATTATACTATTTGAGGTGATGGATGCTAATTAAACTTTCTATGGAGATTATTTTGCTATATACACAAGTATCAAGTTGTTATAGTGTATGCCTTAAACTTCTACAGTGCTACATATCAATTACATTTCAATAAAACTGGAAATTAAATAAATAAGATAGCTCTAGGTGTGAAAATGAGGTATAGCTGGTAGTTTAGGTTTTCCTGATCCCCAAAACATGTGCTGTGACTTTGGACAAACATAATGTCAAAACAAAGGCATTCAGGTTCAATGTGGAAGAAAAACCCCTGAATAATTAAAGAGATCCCCCAAAAAAGTCTGCCATTGAATAGTAGAATCCCTATTTGAAAAAGTTCATATATCCAGTTCACAGGATATATGTATAGGTATGTAACGGGGCCAATGCATCACATGTCAAAGCCACATTTTGAAAGCCTGTAGACAGAGAAGATCTGGTTTTAACACAACATCCAAAGTGCTTCAGACCTCATTAACTAAGAATCTTAAGGCAAGTCACGCTGTGGGGGTAGATGCTATCATCGGAGGCGGGACTTGAGCAGGGTTCCACAGACCTCGTGCTGACCATTCTGACACATGACCTTTCTTTGACGGGCTCCAGGGAACATGGAAAATGGCTGGTGAGCACAACCCCAGGAGAATGGAGATGTTCCAATAGTTTCCATGTTGACGAAAAGCAGCACATACGATAGTCTCTGCTGTTGGTGGTGATGACGTCAGCACAACAGTGACACTGATGCCAAAATGATTGAATTATATCAGGCATGACATGAGTGCCTCAGACTTCTCCACAGGGGACCAATAGTTTATCATTACTTGAAAGCTCCCCTACCAAAAGTGAGATATAGAAATATTTTTCTTTTGAAAATTACATTGGAAAAATATAAAAATTCAAAAGCTCTCATCTGAGTGAATAATGATTCATAGCTGTTACTGCCTTTTTATTTAAAATTTTTTTTCCAGTTTGTAGATCTTTGATGTGATCATCCTGTTTGTAAGTACCCGCTTCTGTTTGTTTTCTAATCATCCACCTTCTTGAGAACATGCCATGGTTTTTTTTTAATACATATTTGTGCATGTGCCTGTGTACGCATATGTGCATGCACAACACACACACACACACACCATGCCCTATATTAGGGGTGTCGAACTCAATCAGAGAAGGGGCCAAAATCTAAAATCCAGCCTAAATCGTGGGCTGAATGGTTTACTGAACAGTCATAAACTGTCATTCTGATGGAAACGCAGTGGAGTGCAGTGATGACAGCGCGGTGCGGGCCACATTGCAAGGCCTGGCGGGACGGATTTGGCCCGCGGGCCTTGTGTTTGACAAATGTGCCCTATATAGTCAGCACGCCTTTATTATCAAACTCTCTTCCTCTGGTTCCCGGCAAGTGTCTTCTTGTCTCAGATATTTTTTTTTTGTTTTGTTTTGTTTTTCCATTTAAACTATGTACCTCCCTCCCCGGGCCTTTAATTCATACTTTTTAGGTTTCTTGATTCTTTCGTTCCTTTGACCTCAGAGACTAACACTGTCCTAGTACCATGGTTGGCAAACTGCGGCTTGAGAGCCACATGCAGCTCTTTGGCCCCTTGAGTGTGGCTCTTCCACAAAATACCGCAGCCTGGGCAAGTCTATTTTGAAGTGGCATTAGAAGAAGTTTAAGTTTAAAAAATTTGGCTCTCAAGGCTGGGTGCGGCCAGGCCCGAAGCAGCGGCTGCCAGGCTGGGAGCGGCCAGGCCCGGAGCAGCAGCTGTCAGGCTGGGAGCAGCCAGGCCCGGAGCGGCCGGGCCCGGAGCAATTGGGCCCAGAGCAGCCGAGTCGGGTGTGGCCAGGCCTGTAGCAGCAACAGCCAAGTCCAGAGCAACTGGGTCGGGAGCGGCAGTGACCAGACACGGAGCAGCTGGTTGTGGAACGAGCCAGAGCAACAGAGGCCAGGCCCGAAGCAGCCAGGCCCGAAACAGCTCGCTCCTCACCTGCCCCTGCCCCACGGCGGCCTCTCAGACATGGCTGGAAACTTTTGCGGGAACTTGAGGGTCTGCTGAATCAAGTGATGAAGGCTTATATAAAAATTTGGCTCTCAAAAGAAATTTCAATCGTTATACTGTTGATATTTGACTCTGTGAACTAATGAGTTTGCCGACCACTGTCCTAGTAGATCCTGAAGCGTCTCCCCTTAGTCAGACTTCTCACTTGTGTCTGTGCCACGGAAATGACAACTGATTCACAAAAACTTTATTGTTACAGTTAATCAGTCAGGAAGAGCGGACCATCGTCAATGAGATTATTGTTGGGTCCTTGACTTATACTCAGCTTCCAGTATGTTCGGCACCCTCGGCAGGAGCTGGCTAGAAGGTAGCCGTGTGGTTGTTTTTCATCTGTGATGGGCCTTCTGCTCACTCCAGAACAAGTCTCTCGCCCTTGCTTTTCTCTATTCTTTCCTTCTCCTACACAGCATCATCATTCAATTCAGCAGCACTCCATATTTTATTGCTCTATTTAAATTTAACATTGTTTAAGCTTTCAACTTGAGCACCATCAGTATTTGGGATCAAGTAGGTAACCCTTGGCTATTCAAACATCAACTACTAACTATCCTGGGAAGAAAGTGACTTTTGGAAGCGAGGGGTGATATTCAGCTGGTGAGACACAAGGACACCCAACCAGAAGGAGCCTTTGCAGTGCCAGGGCTTAAGGGCTTAGCACCTTAGTTGCTGCATTGTGGGGGAGCTGGTGAGTCCTAGGGCAATGGCCAGGGAGGTAGAATGTAGTTGAACTTAGGGAGCTCAGGACAAGGTTTTTTTTAACCAGCTCAGAAGTACTTCAGCTATGACAGTTCTGTCAGTGGCCCCGCTGAGTACCATCCCTGCAGCGAGGTTCATTGTGTCCTAATAGCTTGGACCTGTCTCTCTCGAATAGTATGTGTTTAACATGAAGAGGAAAGTCGAACTTGCAACCGACTTGCAGGAAAAACCATATGGCAGGTATTTCCTAGTTTACTAGTTTATAGTCTTCAACAGTTTCTCAGCCTTATCAAGGTTATCACACATTGCTTAAAACAGGGTGACCTCCAAGACTGTCCATTAAACTTGAACCCACTGCATCCCACTTTTGGTTGCCTATGACTAGAGTTTTTGATTGGCAGATCCCCAACTATGCTGAGGGGACTCACTTTGGCCGCCGTCACCACCTGCGAACCATTGATGATGCTCAGGTGGCTGCTCTCTTGCTACGAACACTAGGAAGGCCTCTCCCCCCACCCCCATGTGCACACACAGAGCTCAGCTCTTCCCTGGGACTGCTCTCTGCTCCTGTTCCCAATGCAGGATCCCCAGGAGCCTCCGGCCTCGCACTGAGTCTTAACCATTTTTACCCCAGGGGACTCCTTGGACAGGCTGCTGAAGACCACGGACCCCTTTTCAGAACAAGCCTTTTAAATGCACAAAAGTCATGAAAAACAATTATATTGAAATACATTTAACACAACGTTTAAAAATTTGTACTATAGCAATACACATACTTTAATATATGCACATATATTTCATTTGTTTGTTTGTTTATTTCAGAGGGGAAAGGAGAGGAAGAGATAGAAACATCAATGATGAGAGAGAATCATTGATAGGCTGCTTCCTGCAGGCCCCACACTGGGGCTGGAGCCTGCAACCTGGGCATGTACCCTGACTGGGAATTGAACCATGACCTCCTGCTTCATATGTCACACTGAGCCTTGCCAGCCCGGCAGTACACATACTTTTTAATTGACATCTGACGTAAAACCTAGCTGTGGGCATACTTAATAACTGTGATGTGATGTGATATGATGTAATGTGATGTGATGTGATGTGATGTAAAGAACATGTGGGTTCCACCGGAGACTACTTGAGAGTCATAGATACCCTACAGTCACTGTGGGATATCCTTCATCCATAATGAAAGGAAATGCTAAATGTCAGAGGTTTTAAAAAAATGTAAATTTTTTTGTTACCCAAATTCACTTGAATTTTCTATCCCCAGGTTAAGAACCACTACAACAGGATAAAGGCGCGCCAGGGGTCAACACCTCAATGGAGGCCCCAGCCCAAGTCCGAACCTTTAGGCCACCCACACAGAGCTCAGCACTGCCTCTGGGGGAAAGTTCTTACAACTAGTCCTGGGGGTAGGGAGGAGGCGTTCCTGAGCTTCGCGGGTACCCTTGAAACAAACCCTCCTTTACTGTGCACGGGGCTTCTCGGCCTCAGCACACCTCTGGAGACCAAGTTTTCCGTTGCTGACACCACTGTGGCTTCTCCCACGAGCTCTGGCCAAGGCTGGGCTTCCGTTTTCTCGTCTGGCAGAAAGAAAACACCCTGTCTCACAGGAGGGTTAGGAGTCCGTGAGATAACAGCTGCGAGCTGAACGTGGTGCAGCATTATCAAAGTGTGTGCCATTATCCTTTTTGAGAACAATCTATGCAGCTCTCTCCCCCGAGTCTCTGGCGGCATGCGGTATGCGCTCCACAAACACTTGTGCAGAAGCAGACACTTGTGGAATGAATGAATGAATGAATGAATGAATGAATAGATAAAGCCTGCATTTGCACGTGGGCTTCGGTCTGCAAGAACACGCTGCTCCAGGCGCCTCGGGCCGGCGCCTCACCCACCCTCTCCTTTCCTAACAGGTAGCAAACGCAGCCCTAGCCCTGCGCCCGAGTGGCAACCACAGTTCACGTGCTTATTTCCAGGGGGGTCCCCCCACCCCGTCCCCCGGATGGGGCTGCTAGGCCCCGAGCTCGCCCTCTGCCTCTCACGCCGCAGCTTCCGGGCCGGGTCCGGGGCGCCGGGCGGCGGGGGGCGGGCGGGAGGGGACCGCACGCCGGGCGGCGGGGAAGGTGCGGGCGGCGGGCCGGGCGGGCGCGGGGAGGGCGGAGGGCGGGGCGGGGCGGGGCGGGGCCGGGGCCTCGTCACCGGATAAAAAGCCTGCGAGTCTCCAGAGAACAACGGGCTCATTGAGCGGAGGGAGCCGCCGGCGCGGGGGAGCGGCCTGGCGGAGAGCGCGACTCGTCCCGTCCCGGGGGTGGGGCCGCCGGAGGCCGGAGCACACGCAGGGCGCCGCGGTAGCTGCAGCGCCGCAGCCTCGAACCCGGACCCGAGCGCCTGGCGCCCGTGCACCTCGCAGCTCGCAGCTCGCAGCTCCCGCTCCGGTCCCAGGGCGCCGACCTCCCCCGATGGCGGCCGCGGGGCGGCTGTGGCTGCTCTACCTGTCCGCGGGGCTGCTGCCCCGGCTCGGCGCCGCCTTCAACTTGGACACCCGCGAGGACAATGTGATCCGGAAAACCGGGGACCCCGGGAGCCTCTTCGGCTTCTCGCTGGCCATGCACCGGCAGCTGCACCCCGAGGACAAGCGGCTGTGAGTGCACTGATCTTCCCGCACCCCAACCTCCTTGCCCCCTGACCCCCCGACCCGGGCGCCGACCCCCCCCCCCCCGGCCGCCCTGCCCCCCGGCTGCCCCGCCCGGGGCACCCCGGCCCGGAGCGGAGCCTCCCCGCGTGCAGCCCGGGCCGGGGGAGAACCGAAAGCCGCCCCCTGCGGACCGCGGCCCGGGGCCAGGAGGGTCTGATCTGCCCCGAGAGTTTTACTTTTTCCCCCTTCTTTTCCCCCTTAAACGCGTACTTTGCGGTGGTCCTCCGGGTATGTTTGCTGGGAACCCGGCAGGTGGCACGCTTCGCCGAGCTTCACGTGTGTGTGTGTGTGTGTGTGTGTGTGTGTGTGTGTGTGTGTGTGTCGGGCGGGGAGGGCGGGGGTGACTTGGGCTGCAGGGTCGCAGATCTGCTGCAGGGGGAAAGTTCCTGGGAGTGTCTGCTCCGGGGAGTCCAGGCCTTTTCCCAACGCACGGAGCGCCCCGGCCCCCCGCAGACTCGCGATCCCCCGCAGAAGTTGGAAAGTCACTTTTTGCATCGTGTGGCTTTCCCTGCGGGGCGGTTGCTTTTGCACGAGATACTTGAACACCCCCTCCCTAAAAAAATAAAAATAAATAAATGATGGGACTAACCCAGCACCTGCTAGAGGGACCACTTCTGCAGAGAAAACAAGCTCCTCCGAATGGTGTGCTCGCCCCCCGCCCCCAAACCATGCCCCCAGCCCAGGCCCCAAAGCGCCCGGCGGCACCCGCGACCCTTTGGGCTCCTGCACTGGGCAGGCCCAGCCCAGGGGCGAAAGCAACATGTCCGATCCGGGCTGGCGCTTTGCAAAGCCAGGTTTGGAAGTGACAGCCCCTTCCACCGTAACACAAGCCGGCGCCTCCCCAGAGAAAGTGGAGGCCCGCACTCTCAGCCTCGCTTTTTTTTCTCTCCCCCCCTCTTCCCCCCATTAGCGTTTGGTTCCCATGATCAAGCTGTTTAGGTTGGAGAGAGGGGTGTTTGGGAGCTTAGTCGACTTAATCGCAGTGGGGCTGCATTCTTGACCTGTGCTACCGAAAAATAAACTCACCAAAGCGGACCCCCCTCCCTCGCCCCCCAACTCCCTGCGACTTTAGTTGAATTGAGGTTCTTCCAGGACCAACAGAGCAGAGCGGAGAAAGCAAAGTGCAGGCACAGCCAAGAGAGGACTTTGTGTTCATGAGAGGCGAATGGAATTTTTAGATTTGGATTTCAGCAATTAAAGAACTTGGGAATAGGTGAATATTGTGGGCCCCCGAATCTTTGATTTTTTTTTTTTTTTAAACACCTGCTAGTTAAGTAAAGGAATTAGTTGGGGGTGGGGAGGCCGCTGGCCAGTGGTCTGCCCGCTTGGCCAGCTGCTTCTGTCTGCTTTGGAAAGGATTGTTAAGCTGTAAATCTGAAGTGAAAGGTGGTGTCTGTTAAGTCGGTTAGGTTAATGGAGGGTGGTTAGCGTGTCTGCACACTGAGGAGTGCCTAGATGTGCACCTACCCATACGGGGAGGGGAGTTTGAACTTAGTGCAGAGATGGCTGGGCCAGCAGAGGGAATCCACTCTCCTTGGCATTTTCTCTCTGCAGTCAGATGCCCACTGGGGCTGGTGGCTTCTCTGAGGTACTTGTTCAAGCGAACGTTTTGAAGGGGAAGTGCTGGGGCAAGAACATGTCCTTGGGATGGGAGATGTGCAAAAAAAAAAAAAAAAAGTGATTGTAGCCAGGAATCTCTGTTGTCACCAAGATTAGCAGCATGCTTGCTACAACTTGTTACTGCTGTGGACTTCTTGGCTGTTAGAGCCGGCAAGTCCTCCCCTGGGGTCAGAATAAGCCTCTGGGGTATGATGCCCTCTAGAAATCTCTTCTTAGGGGTTAACGGAGGGACTGATCCGACCCTCAGATGGGGGGACAGGCCCACTGTAAGACTGGATTTTTCCCGAGAGCCTGGAGTATGGCAGTGATCACAGTGTAGGCAGTGATCACAGTGATCACAGTGGTCGGCAAACTCATTAGTCAACAGAGCCAATATCAACAGTACAACCATTGAAATTTCTTTTGAGAGCCACAGTTTTTAAACTTAAACTTCTTCTAACGCCACTTCTTCAAAATAGACTCACCCAGGCCATGGAATTTTGTGAAAGGGCCACATTCAAGGGGCCAAAGAGCTGCATGTGGCTCGAGAGCCGCAGTTTGCCGACCACGGCTCTAGGGGGCTGGGTGTATGTCAAATGCCACTCCCTTTTGGTCAAGTATTTCAGCTCCAGGAGAGCATTGCCCTCTGAGGGGAACGTGCACACACAGGCCATACCCACATCTGTTGTCATCTTTGTCAGTAAAGGATGTGGGTGTAAATATCAGCCAGGGAGGTCTAGCTTCCTAAACTTGGCACTCTCTGGACAAGCTCACTGAGGAGTGTTTCTGGTGGCGAGACCTGAGCTCAAACTCTTTCTCAGTCAGTTAGTAGCTGTTGTATTACTTTGAGCCTTAGTTTCTTTATCTGTAAAACGGAGATAGTACTGTTTACTTAGGGTTGTTGTGAGTTAAGAGATAACATGTTTACTTGCTGATTAAATGGTAGCTGTTAATGGTGATAAATTTAGAAACAGTAATTGAATTCTTAATACTATGCAGAGGTTAAGCATTCTGTGATTCTAAGACTGCCAAAGAGTAAAAAGCCAAAAGTTATTGTAGTTTGGGCAATTGATGTTTTAAACTCTGAGTCACATTTATAAAACCCATGTTCAAAACAATTTAACTTTTAATGCGGCTTTAATTAGATTTATAACGAGAAAATTTAGTGAACAAGAGACTTTGAGTTAGGAGAAGTACAATAAAATATCAAAGATGTGTGGGAACATAAGATGAATGCCCTTCTCTAGAAACCACGATAGATTTTTCTGGGTTAAATTTTCTACAATGCCGTTTGACTATTTAGTAACAACTTAAACTCTAGTTAAGATTTTATACTAGAATAATACTGTATCTGAGAACCGTAAAACATATTGTGTTATTCCTCAAACGTTCAACAATGTGACACTGAATTAGAGACTCTAAAACACCACTCAGGTTTTTAGGCTGTATATTAAAGAAGTTTCAGACTTCAAAATATTTATAAGTTTGGCTGAGTTACTGAGGCCAGGGTCTGAAAGTCTTGGAATCTTTCATTTCTCTAGGTAGTTAAGGCTGAGTCACACACCACCACTCCCATCTCCCACCCTCCCAGGTGGCAAGTATGGGAAGACAGCTGTGGGTATGCCCATCCTGTGAATCATCAGGCTTAGCTCTTCTGGGAAGATTATACAGATCTATGTATGGCTGCAGGGCAGAACCCGGCAGAGGGAGAGCTATAGGAGATCCTCCCATGGGATAATTCTGGACTTACCCCCATTTTCTTTTCAGGAACTTTCTGATCACCAAATTCCATAGGCTGCCAGGCCCATCACTCTCTTCAGACTCTGTGGTGCTCGTTCTTGATTTTTCCGAGTTGTGATGCCCCCACTTAAAAAAATCATGTTTCTCTTGGACTAGGGATTTTCTAGTCTGACTGGCTCTTTGTAGATGAAGAAACTGAAGCCGAAAGCTAAAAAAAATGTCTAAATTCTGGATAAGCAGAATCTAAATAGGATCTGGATTTGACCCTGATATTTCTGACGCATGCGAATGCCATCTTTAAAAGGAAAAATCAGAAATGCCCTTCAGACCGAAATAAATTGGCTAGCATCTGAGCTTTGGGAATGCACTATGTTAGGTTGATTTATTAAACTGCTTCCCACATGGGTCACGGCTGCCTATTTAAATATCTGTGCTTGGACTGGCTTCCTCTTGGCCCTTATTCCAACTGGCCTTGGATCAGCTTCTGGGTCCCTCCTCCTTTGCCTGTCATCCCCCCCTTTCTGGAAAAGCCCAGTGAGTAGTGACTAGCTAGCGGGGATCAGAGTTTCTTCAGGATGTGTACCTAAGCCGCCCTTGCTTCCTTGAATTCGTTCAGAGTGCCATGTGGCCCAAGGCCATCCAGGCACTGTGACTGTGCTCAGCCACCTTGAGTCCTGAGAGTCCACACGGACAGGGACACTTAGAGGTCATAGGGCTCTGCAAGAACGCAGAAATAAACAAGTTTAACGTTTACCCAAGCAGTTTACATGTATCCACCTGAAGACAAGGTTGAGATGAGGACCAGAGAATTCACTTGGTCTGAATACTTCGTTGGGAAAGTCAGGCTACATGCTTATATAGATTTCTCCACTATTGTAAAGAAGCCATTACGCCGCTTTTAGCTGCATAAGTCTCTATTTTAAGCATAACAATAATATTAATTTAATTTAAGCTCTTGTAATCAAATAGTACTGGAATTATGGCATATGGCACCTTTAGGACCTTGGCTCAACAGACTACAGTGGGCAGAGTTGGCCAGCCTGTTACTTGGCACTTGCAAGAGGGACAGTGGAGACATAATAGAAAATACTGTTGTATGTAGATGACAGGGTCAGTTTTACCTGGAACACTGATTGGTTCCAAGTCCGCCCACCTTACAGAATATAGTCATATCTAAAGAACCAGTTTATATTTCTCATTGGAAGTTTTTTTTAGCCCCACCTGCACTCCAGCAATTTTCTCTTCCTTTGAAGGTTAGTAGCATTTACTGTCAGGTGTCTGACAGTTCTGATGGTTTTCTGTTTTACTCTTACCTGCCTTTTCAGAGGATGATCCAATCTCTCCCAACTGGGTTATAGGTTGTGTGAGGGCAGGGTCTTTTTTTTTTAATCCTCATCCGAGGATATTTTTCCATTGATTTTTTTTTTTTTTTTTCAGAGAGAGTGGAAGGGAGGGGGAGACACACACACATAGGAATATTGATGTGAGAGAGAGACATCAATTGGTTGCCTCCCATATTCACTGGCTGCTCATCAGGGCAACCTGGGAAATCTCTTTGCAAATTCTAGGCTCAGCCCAGCTCTATGGTGCTAGATGTGGTCAGTTTC